GGGGAGGAGACGAGGAGTTAATGAAAGTGATCGGGGTGATGAGAGGGTTTAAGGGAGATGGGGAGAGGGGGAGTGGGATATGTAATGAAGAGGGGTAAAGAAGGAGAAGGGTGAAGAATGAAGATGAAGGGGAGAAGGGAAGGAGGTAATGGGGGTGTGAAGGTGTGAAGAGGAGGAGTGGGAAGATGGTGAAGAAGGGAGAGGAAAAGAGAGGGGGAGTAATGAAGATGAGAATAACGAGGAGGAGGAAGAGGTCGACGATGATGAAGGGTGGAAATGGAAATGGGGAGATAATAACAGAGATATAAGAGACATGGGAAGAGAAACAAGGGGGAGAGGAAGAGACAAATTATGAAAAAAAAATGCTGGAAAAGATTAATGTCCTGGATATTTTTCACCATAATTACGACTCAATGTGAAGTATATCATTTTGTCATTTTTTTCCTAGTATGATTTTTTTTTTGCTCTGGATAATTTTGTATATTTTAGTTTATTTATTTATTTATTTATTTTTATTTTGTTTTTAGTGAATAAGATGCTCATATTATTCACATTATTCACCACAAAATGATACGATTCAAATTGTGGAAGAAATGAAATAAGTATGAAATATGTTTTGAATCCGTGTATGTCATGTTTTAGAGGTTCATGTTATTATTATTATTATTAGTAGTAGTAGTAGTAGTATTTGTAGTTCTAGTATCTAAGTTAATTTAGCTATTTTTGTTATTACTCTTCATTGTAAAAATAGTAATATTAATATTTATATTCTTATTGGTAGTTGAGTTTAATAATCATCTTTCATTTATCATTTACTTATTATTTTCGATTTTTTTTCTTCTATCATTTGGTGTTGGAGTCGACCATTCGTTACTGTCCCTGGTGGCTCCTCCTGCGGGTTGTGTAATGACAGGTTCCTTGATGCTGTCACCTGTAATGGACACCTGTGTGGGCGGGCGGGGAGGCCGTGCGGGCGGGCGGGTGTGACTGCATCTGTCGTGGGTGGCCGGACGGGCACGCTAATGAAGATATGCAGGTAAACACACTAATTAACGAGCCAAGCAGGTGGGCGGGTGGGGGCGGAGGTGATGGTGAGGTGGAGGTGGGAGGTGAGGGAGTGTGTATGGGAGGTAAGAGGGAAGGGGTAAGGGTAGGAAAGAGAGAGGGTAAGGGTAAGGGGGTGAGAGAAGAGGATGAGAGTGAATGAGGAGCAGGAGGGGGGTGAGGTTGAGGCTGAATAGAAGTGGGCATACGTAAAATGAGGCTGTGGGGGTTGGGGGGATGTTGAGGAAGGGATGAAGGAGAGTGGGGTAGGAGGGGGAGAGGTGAAGGTAGGGAGGGGGCGGGTCGAGGCGGATGGGAGAGGCTGATGATGTGAGTGGAGAGAGGTGAGTATACAGGATGTAAGGTGAGGGACAGGGTGGGTGAGGGATAGGGGGCTGGAGGATAAGGGGAGAGCAGAGGAGGAGAAGGGAAGAGAGAGAGAGAGGGGGAGGGGATGAGGTTAGGGATATGGGATATGAGACAGATGGTGTAAAGATCGTGGTTAGGGGGAGAGTGGAGAGGGGGAGGAGAGAACCATTAAGTTGGAAGGGAGGGGAGGGGAGGGGAGGGGAGGCGTGAAGGGGGGAGGGGAGGAGGAAGGGTAAGGGCCGAACCTACCAAATGTCCACTCATCAAGGGGTAAGCCTAACAGCCTAACGATAAAATTAACCTTTCAGATAGACCAATAGTCGTGAGTCTAAGCGTATGATTACCCGCGCTTCACTGCACGTGGGCCTGGGTCTGTTTGTTTACCTGCCGAGGATGACAGATGAAGGATAACTATTGTATTTGTCGATGATCTTGATGACAGATGCTGGTCATTACGGTAATTCTTAGTCCTCGAGCCACAGCCTACAGTGAGTCGCTTATATGTGGTGTTGGATGATTATGTTGTCATCCCTGATGTACACTTTAGTAACTTAACCATCGTGCTGGAAACTGTATTAATATTATTATTATTTTTTATTATTATTATTATTATTATTATTATTATTATTATTATTATTATTATTATTAGTAGTAGTAGTAGTAGTAGTAGTAGTAGTAGTAATTTATTATTATTATTATTATTATTATTATTATTATTATTATTATCATTATTATTATTATTATTATTATTTGTTGTAGTAATAGTTGTAGTGATAGTAGTTCGGTACTAGTATTGTAATTGTTATTTTTGCAATATATATATATATATATATATATATATATATATATATATATATATATATATATATATAATCTAAGAGGTACTGGGTATCACTATAGTCTGGTCTTCACTATACCTGAGCGACCACACGCACGGCATCACAAACCAGGGCTGACGTATGCAACGAGTGAGAGTATAATAAGTTGGGGCATAATAGGAGGCAGGGCGGCACACAGCTGCCCCACCACCACACCCTAAAGATCGTCTCCCACGTTTTTATCGCGGACGGTGGCAGGTGGACGCTGGTGAATTGGTGTGATTGTGAGCTGTAAGTCTGAGTGCTGGAGTGTGGTATTGTGTGTCCAGGTCCAGGGTAGTGTGTGTGTGTGTGTGTGTGTGTGTGTGTGTGTGTGTCTGTATATACACCGTACTGTTAGTCTCCGAGAGTTAGGTATAGCTACTACTATATGCCAGAGTTCAGTATAATAGTGAGTGTTGTAGTTGTTAAGACAGTTGGGATAACCTTACATAAACCATTACTTGAACCATTATATAAACCATTACTTAAACCGTTATATAAACCATTACTTAAGCCATTACTTGAACCATTATATAAACCATTACTTAAACCGTTATATAAACCATTACTTGAGCTATTATATAAACCATTACTTAAATCATTATATAAACCATTACTTAAACCATTACATAAATCATTACTTTAACCATTATATATAACCATTACATAAACCATTACTTTAACCATTATATAAGCCATTACTTAAACCATTACTTTAACCATTATATAAACTATTGTTTAAACCATTATACAAACTATTACTTAAACCATTATATAAACCAATATATCAACCATAAAGTAAACCATTACAGAAACCATTATATGAACCATTAATTAAACCATTACAAACTAATATATGAACCATTACTTAAATCATTACATAAACCATTACTTAACCATTACTTAAACTATTATATAAACCATTACTTAAGCCGCTACTTAGACCATAACTTAGACCCTTACTTAGACCGTTACTTAAACTAGTAGTTAAACCATTACTTAAACCATATCATAACCATTACTATAAACCAATGTAATATATCTGCTCCATAAACTGGAGGTCCGGATTTTCATATTAATATACAAAGTATAACATTACTTAACCCATGTAGTCACAGTACTGAGATGTGTGTGTGTGTGTGTGTGTGTGTGTGTGTGTGTGTGTGTGTGTGTGTGTGTGTCCCCTCCGTCACCAGGTGCGTGACCCGCGTCAGTGTGGGCTGCCCGCTTAGCTGGTGTTGCCACTCTGCCTCTTATTATACTTGGAGTTGTTCCTCGTGTTGCCGGAGCCTTACTGGAGGTGTATGTGGAGGAGGAGGTGTGTGTAGGAGAGAGCCTGGAGGTTCAGGTGATGAGACTACCAGTGAGGGTTGAGTAACAGAGAGAGTGACGTGTTGTGATGCGTTGGCAATAGTGGCCCGACCATCTGTTCACCCTCCCTCCCTCTTTCCCTCCCACCCTTCCCTTTCCTCCCAAACACAAGCAGATCTCTCCCTTACTTCCCCTTCTCTTGTGGCTTAGAATCCTCCTGGTGGCCGCGGTGTCACCTCCGTCACGCAGGAAGCAGTTTCTGGTCTTCCGCCGGGAGGACAAAAGGTGAATTTTAGCGTACCTGCTGCGGCACGTGGCAGGCAGGTGCGACACGCGCGCACGTGCTTCTACACCCATGCGCCGTGATTACCTTCCCTCATGACGTCACTGCTTACGTGGACTCATACTGGCGCTGAATTTACTTAACATAACGCACAAGAGCTAACGCAAGTAGGGAAGGTTTTGATGGTAAAATGTATTAAAAAGTTTATGGGGTGAAGAACAGGGTAGGTGAAGGCTAGACAGCACAGGTGAGGACCATCATGGGCAGTCCCCCGGGGCAGCTGAAGGTGTGGCGACAACCGGTTGTGGCAGGTGAGAGGGAGAGCGGGAGGGGAGCCAGACAGCTTACCAGGGTTACTCTACTGCTGCTTTTTGTGGTGTTAGGAGGGTCAGCTGCTGAGTGCTGGCCCTACCCTCACCCCTGGCCCTAACTACCACCACCACTCCTCACCAACCTCACTACTGCCACCTTTACTCCTCACTGTTAGAATTCCTCTCCTCCTTCATCTTCCATCCTATATGATCCTTCCTACTCCTTCATCCTTCACGTCAGTCCCCGTCCATCAGTCCTTCTCTATCACCTTTGACCATCATCATTCTCTCCCATCCTTCACCATGGGAAGGGGGTGTTAAGAAAGAGAGGGGGAGGGAGTTAAGAAAGGAGGGAAGGAGGGAGGGAAGGTGTCAGGGAGGGAGGTTGTTAGGAAATGAAGGAGGGAAGGAGGGAGGTTGCTAGGAAGTGAGGGAGGGAAGAAGGAATGCGGAAGACACCCACAAGACGCGAGTGGCAGTAACAGGTGGAGGTGAGGAGGACGGCAAGACGTTCAGGTGTGTGAGGCCGTGTCTTTCTCCCTCCCTCCTTCCTCCTTTATTCCTTTCCCTCCTTCCCCTCCTCCTTTCCTAAATCTTCCTCTTCCACCCTCTCCTTTCCTCCTCCTACTTCCCCCATCTTCTCCTCTTCTTCTGTCTCGTACTTTATCATCTCTCTTCTCCTTCCCATCTCTTCTTTCGTCGTTTTCTCTCCTGCCTCTTCTTCCTCCTCATCTTCCAGTCTCTCTTCTACCTCACCTTTCCACACGCTGACGTCGGTGCTGTCAGCCGATATCATACACCGTTAACGACACGAAAAAAATGTCAGGAGCATGAGTCAGCAACGCAGGAGATATTGATAACATTAGGATTATCAGGCTGAGTGTCAGCAGCATGGATGTCAGCATTATGATCGTCAGCAGCATGGATGTCAGCATTATGATCGTCAGCAGCATGGATGTCAGCATTATGATCGTCAACAGCATGGATGTCAGCATTATGATCGTCAACAGCATGGATGTCAGCATTATGATCGTCAGCAGCATGGATTTGACCATTATGTTCGTCAGTAGCATGGATGTCAGCATTATGAACATCAGCAGCATGGATGTCAGCATTATGATCGTCAAAGTAAGCATGGATTTTGACCATTATTTTCTTCAGTAGCATGGATGTCAGCGCATTATGAAATATCAGCAGCATGGATGTCAAAGCATTATGTTGGGTTGACAGCATTATGACTTCGTCAGCAAAAGATTAGTGTCAGCATTATGGTTGTCAGCATCATGAACGTCATAGCTTAAGTCAACAACACAGAAGCCAGTGTGTATGCATGAACTTTGGAAGAGTAGAGAGAGAGAGAGAGAGAGAGAGAGAGAGAGAGAGAGAGAGAGAGAGAGAGAGAGAGAGAGAGAGGTGGCTGAAGGACGCCTGCAGGTAAATGATGATGAGGGCAGGTGGTCTAGCCCCAGGAGGAAGGGGAGGGAGAGACTGACAGAGAGGGAGAGGGGGAAGAGAAGGAGAGAGGGGGAGATGAGTATTGAGGGAAAGAGAGGTAGGGAGGATAGAAACAGTGAGAGAGAGAGAGAGAGAGAGGAGTGAAGGCGGGACAAGGGAGAGCGGAAGCAGAGTAGGAGAGAGAAAGAGAGAGAGAGAGATGAGGGAAGTAGAAGAGAACGAGAAAGGGGTAAGGGAGGAGGGTAGAGAGTGGAGAGGCAGAGAGAGAGCGTGGTATAATGGGAGAGGTGAAATGGTAAGGAGGATAAGAGAGAGGAAAAGAGAGTGAGTGAGGGAGGAAGGGAGAGAGAGAGGAAGGCTGTATTATTATTATTATTATTATTATTATTATTAGTAGTAGTAGTAGTAGGTTGAAAATTCGTATAGGAATCCTTCAGACCTCTACGTAGTAAACAACAAGGCTTTACGAGGTGATACCATCCTACAGTCGACCGAGGGAACAACACAGGGAGACCCCGTTGCAATGGCAATGTATGCAATAGGCCTATCAGTGCTCCAACAAGAAATAAAGTATGAAACAACTGGGGTCAAACAAGTGGCATATGCTGATGACCTCACAGGAGCAGGAAAAGTGGAGGACATCAAAAAGTGGTGGGACCTGGTAACATCGCGAGGTCCACAAATAGGGTACCACCCAAACGCCAGCAAATCCTTCCTCCTCGTGAAGCCAGATCATTATGATCGGGCTGTGGAGGTTTTCGGCGAAAGTGAGGTCAAAATCACTAAGGACGGCCAAAGACATCTAGGCGCAGTAATTGGCACTACGGACTTCAAGACCCAGCACGTAGGGGAAAGCGTGAACGAGGGAAGGAAGCAAACTGGCTGCCTATCGGAGATTGCTAACACAGAGCCATGCGGCCTTGCAGCATTCGCTATTACTACGGAGTCAAGCATCGTTGGAACTACCTGATGCGTACCATCCCTGAGATCCGACCCCTCCTCCACCCTTTGGAAGAAGCAACCAGTGTCAAGTTCATTCCCAAACTAGTGAAACACCACGACTTAACCCCAGTAGAAAGAACACTTCTTGCACTTCCACCAAGACTGGGAGGGATGGGACTAACTAATCCAGAGGAGATTGCTGACTCTGAACATCAAAATTCACTTAAGCTCACGGCAGCCCTCACCGACCACATAATAGCCCAGAATGCAACAGGGGAAGTGGACACCAGCGAAGTTAATAAGATCCGTAGATCCATTACAACAGATCGGCAGCACTGCCAAAATGACATGTTGCAGCAACTATTGCTGCAGGTTCCAGAAAATTTGACAAAAAAAGTAGCTATAGCGCAGGAGGTGGGCGCCTCGAACTGGTTAACTACGTTACCGATAAGGGCAAATGGTTTCAGCCTTAACAAACAAGAATTTACAGATGCTATTGCTCTAAGGTACGGTTGGCCAGTAGATGGTTTGCCCTCCCAATGCGTGTGTGGCTATTCCTATGATGGCGATCACGCCATGGTTTGCAAGAAGGGGGGCTTCATATGCATGAGGCATGACGAGGTAAGGGATCTCACAGCAAATATGTTGAAGGAAACCTGCCGGGACGTCATGGTAGAACCGACCCTCCTTCCACTGGATGGCGAGATCCTCCAACACAGGACTTCAAACACATCTAACGAAGCCCGTGTGGACGTCAGTGCTCGAGGATTCTGGACGCGGGGACAGCGAGCCTTCTTCGACATCAGGATTTTTGATCCCATGGCCGTTTGTCACCGTAACCTAGCTCTCGATGCTGCACATAGGAGGAACGAGAACGACAAGAGAAGGGCATATGGGGAGAGAATTCAAAATGTCGATCAAGGCAGCTTCACTCCGCTAGTGTTCACAACCTCTGGTGGGATGGGCCCAAGCGCAAGATGTTTCTACGCCAGACTCGCGGAGCTGATCTCCGAACAGAAGCAGCAGCCCAGGAGTTATGTCACAGCCTGGATGAGATGTCGACTGTCCTTCTCTCTCCTTCGGTCGGCTTTGCTCTGCCTCAGGGGAACGAGAGCTTCTGCCCCTACTCCGTCAACTGCTGCAGATATCGACTATGAGGCTACAGTCACCGAATGCCGCATCGATCTGCGGCTCAACTAATTTAACACAGATAGGATAGTTGCTTATGTATTAGGATATTTAATATTAAGGTAAATAAATGGTGGCGAAGGTGTGGCTATTGGGGGAGGCTGGAGGCCATTTAAAAAAAAAAAAAAAAAAAGTAGTAGTAGTAGTAGTAGTAGTAGTAGGTCAGCTCACTAATCATCACCATCATCACCAACTAACATCATTACCACCATCACTACCACCACTCTTACCACCGTCATCACCAACCAAATCACCATGACTCAGCGATCACCACTATCGTCACTTACCACCTCCAACAGTTAACCCAACCACCACCAGTTACCGACAACCACCACCACCTACCAGCAACCACTACCACCACCTAATCCCTACTCCCTCGGTCACCATATGCACCACCAGCTACCACCCTTAATCCTTACCCTTTCCTTCCCCCCCACCCCTCCCCCACCCCTCCCCCACCCCCAACACCAGGTAATCCGTTAAGGGGAATAATCTGGCCTAATTTAAGGGAGAGTGTTGGACCGTCACCCCCTTAGTGGTCCGGCCAGCGAGTACAGTAATCACTATCTCTCTCTGTGTGTCTGCATTACAGTAACGTTGACCGAAAGTGACCGAGAATTGGTATTTGGACAGAGATAATGAGCCAAACATGCATCAAAACATTCCTCTATTGATAAAAACTTCCAGCAGTCAAGTCAGAAATGGTCCGTTATTTCGTTGACTTTATCGTAGTAGTGGTATTCCTTTCCTTGTGACGTCATGGGTTAGGTTCAACCAATGAGGAGGACGGTGGAAGGTTGTGACGTCGTGGGTTGAGCAAAGGAGCAGGACGGTGAAAGGTTGTGACGTCATGGGTTTGGTTGAGCCAATGAGGAACACGGTAAAATGTTGTGACGTCATGGGTTAGGTTGAGCCAATGAGGAGGACGGTGGAAGGTTGTGACGTCGTGGTTTGGGTTGAGCCAATGAGGAGGACGGTGGAAGGTTGTGACGTCATAGGTTGGGCTGAGCCAAGAGGAGGAGATGATGGAAGGTTGTGACGTCAGAGGGTTAGGAGTTTCAATGAGGTTGAGAGTGGAATGTTGTGACGTCATGGGTTAGAGTTGATGCAATGAAGAGGACGTAGAAGATTGTGCGTCATAGGTTAGGGTTGAGCCAATGTGGAGGACGATAGATTTGTCGTATCGTCATAGGTTGGGCTGAGCCAATGAGGAGGGATGATGGAAGGTTGTGACGTCATGGTTTGGGAACTTTAGTAGCCAGTGGAGAGACGAAAAATTTGTGTTTTCTGTGTGTTCAGCCAAAGTGTGACATGCGATTAACCTGACCAATGAGGGTTCGTAAAAATGATGTAACGTCATGCTAATCTGGATCAATGAGATGCGTATAAATTCAATGACGTCATCTAGTCGGCTAATGAGAAAGGACCCACGGACACAAGGACAAGAGGACCAATAATAAAGAATAAGAGTAATACGATAATTTAAAGGGAACAGGCAGAAAAAAATATGTATGTGTTGAAATGATATAACGAAAGAGGAATAGGCAAGAAAATAAATAACAAAAAGAAATATTGAAGGATAGGAAAGGAGATAATAGGGCAAAACGAAGAAGAATAAAGATGACACTAATGCAGACAAGAATGGTGGGTGGGTATGTAGGTAGGTGGGTTTGTGTGTGGGTGGGTATAGGTTGGGGTGTGGGGTGGGTCAGGTAGGGGGTGGTTGGGTGTGGGTGGGTAGGTAGGTGGGTTTGGGGTGGGTATGTGAGGCAGGGGTGGGTTGTGTGTGGGTGGGTATAGGTAGGGGTGGGTTTGGGGTGGGTATGTGGTAGGAGGGTGGGGCTCAGTGTGGGCAGGAAGGCAGGTGGGTTTGTGTGTGGGTGGCATGTAGGTAGGGGTGGGCATGTCTAGGTGGGTTTGTGTGGGTGGGTATGTAGGTAGGCAGGTGGGTTTGTGTGTGGGTGGGTATGTAGGTGCAGGTGGGTTTGTGTGGGTGGGCATGTTGGCAGGTGGGTTTGGTGTGTGGGTGGTGAGGCAGGTGGGCATGTTCACAGGTGGCCTGTGTGTGGGGTTGGCATGTAGGCAGGTGGGTTTGTGTGTGTGGGGCATGTGAGGTAGGTGGGTCAGGTGGTGGCATGCAGGTAGGTGGGCATGCCCACAGGTGGGTTGGTGTGGGTGGGCATGCAGGCAGGTGGGTTGTGTGGGTGGGCATGTGGTCAGGGTGGGTTAGGTGGTGGGTGGCATGTAGGCAGGTGGGCTCTGTGTGTGGGTGGGGCAGCCAGGCAGGTGGGTCAGTGGGTGGCTGCAGGTAGGTGGGTTTGTGTGTG